TTCAAAATGCCCCAAGCATTTCAGTCTATTAGCTCTCATGATGCCAAATATCAGTGATGATTTAAACAAATTATGAATTTCGTTGTTGCTTCTCACTCTCCGTTCACCGCTGTTTGCATCTTTGATGAGTCCAAAGCTTCATCGTTAGGCTTTGTTTTCGAAAACCTGTAATAAGGCTTCATCTCTTTTAGTTGTGCTCCAAGTTTCAGAGCCATATAACACGACTGGTCTTATCAACGTTTTATATATTGTGATCTTGGTGTTGGGAGAGGCACACATCTGACTGCTCAAGTCATCTGATATGTGAAAAGTCCAGTCAGTCAAGGACCCTTTTCCAAGCATTCATGCGTACTGGGCATATAGAGCTAGACCTATATTTTATAGACCAAACGGCACTGGGTAGGTGATTTGGTCAGCCGGCCGCCTTGACTTCCCCCGTGAATGCACATGGTACCCACTCAAGGCTGGGTGGACCTGGGAGTTTGGTCATTTAAATAAACAAATGTCTGGCTCCATCTGAACCAAAAACCTTCAAATCCACAGGCAACCATCTAGCCACTACACTACGGCAACTCCCTGATATGTGAAAGGTTAGAATTATTTGGTAAACTGCAAATACTGGTTAAACTTGACATTTATGCATATATAATTATATGTTCATTCAGTATCAGTTTCCCCATGTTTATTTTGGATGCTATAAATGTTTTCATCTTTTACAAGACAATTTGTTTTTCCACCGTTAAACTTTCATGCCACCAGAACAGGGTTATTCAACTGGCAGCCCATCTGGCTCACTGAGGCCTAGCAATTGGCCCACAAACCATTGCTAGTTGTATTGTATATTGACCTTTCTATACTGGGGCAGGGGTGACTGGCCTGTGCTGATCCCCATTTTTCACAATTGGGGAGTAAATGAGTAAACTTAGTTGAACATGCATGCACTACAACACTGGGCCTATGATGATAGACAGACATTTGTATAAACCAAGTGGCATTCATAGGACGTTGTGATCAACCTCTCACTGCTGCCTTTATTTCATAGGATCTATCTTGGTGCCCAATATAGGCTGGCTCATTGATTTGGGAGCCCAGCACACCTTTAAAGTGACATAGCACTTGCCACTGTACATAGGACTATCATTACTAATAATTAAATTTAAATTGTTTCGTGGCTTTATCGTTGCATTTGTTATTACTGTGGATGCTAATGCAGACTGTCCATGGAGTTGACCACAGAAATGATTATCAGACTCCCCCCCCCCCCCCCCCCCCCCCATTTTTTTTAAAAACACTGAAATCCTACATAAGTCAAGGAGACAAGAAGACTGGAAAATTGCTTCATTTTTCAGCTGACGTCTTAATTACACATTTTTTATATACTTTTTTTGTTTCTAATGTGATGCTGTCGACCCTGAAGACATCTATCATTTCCATTTCTTCCCACCCTACTTTCTCTGAGCCAAATCCCTTCTATTCATCAATGTAAAAAAAACAGACCTTTCAATCTCATTTAAACACACTGTCAGCTCATGGCATTGTTTCACTTCCTAGTGTCCTAGGATTGTTTTGTCTCCTGGACCTCCTCTGGGAACATTTTTGTTGTGTTCAAATTAGGTGTACCATTTCATTTTTAGTGCAGCGGTTGTGTCGTAGTATTCATGGTCAGTAGCCTGTTTATGTGTGAGCTGGTGAAATACCTTCTGTAATAATTTGATGTGTGTGTGTGTGTATAGAAAACAACTTATCGTGCCTGAATGTTTCCATAACGACAAACTGCATTTCTGGAGGCGATTGTTGGATTTGGCACCTTCAGCAACTGAAATATGCATTTGCTGCGTGTGCACATTTCTGGATTGTTCCGGGACTAGTTGTTTGTTCACCAGTTTTTCAACTGCAACAATGAGGGACATTTAATTTGATTTGCTCTGGCATAGGAACTGAGCAAGTATGGAGACACCCGCTGCAATGATGTTGAAACCTCAACTACGACTCTGACTTGGTGTACCACTTTGTTTTGCCTTTGTGTGCTGATGAAGAATTTCTAGCAATCATGTCTATTCTGTTATTCATGATTATGTTTTCCCAATACGGCTATCAATTCCATTTCTTGTTTTTTATTATTGATTGATGTTTTCATATTTTGTTTAATGAATATGAGGAGGAAAGCTTACAAAAATATTGTAATATTATTTTCAAACAAAATTTATCATAAGAAAATTAATGAGGCTTTTGATCTACATAATAAACCCAAAAGAAGTGATTTTTTCAAATATTGTTTACTGAAAATATTTGTCTCTTTTAGTACTGTATTTATTCATTTCAATGACCAAGAAAAGAAGAAAAAAGGTGACGCTTGGGATGGTGAGTGTTATGAAGTTTTAGGAGGGTAAAATATGCATTTGTAAAGTTACTTTTCAATAAAATGATTAATAAAGTTATTTAAACAGATTCACTGTATGTGTTTAACTATGTGTATGATACGAACAGACATACACTTCATAAATGAGGGAATGGAAATCAAATTATGCTACCAATCATCTAACCCAAAATATCTTACATTTTCTTCTAATAAACTGGTAAAACCTCACTCTGGCTTGCATAAATTTGCTTTCTTGTCTTCCACCCATGCATCATCAACAAATCTTTTGAAGACTAAGGTGCCTGGGACACAATAACTAAATGGATATTCCTAAATTAGACTTGTAAACAAGGTCTACACAGGAAAGAAGACAACGAGGTAGACCATAACTGTGGTTCAAAGGTTTGTCCACAATATAATTCAGTAACTAACCTGTCTATTAGCATTGACCATTTTGACCTGTTAATGCTAAAAAGTAGTCATTTTCAGGATCAAACTCTTAAAAAAAAACAAAAAACAAAGCAACAACATTAGACAGGTCACTAATAAACATTTTTTAAATGTACATTAAAATATTTTCGAATTATAAAGGGTAAACCAAAAAACAAAACAAGTGATTCATACCACCATCATGTGACCTCTGTCAGGGAAGCTTACAGGAAAATTTGACAAACTAGCTTTGAAAAGCCATTAGTGTCATAAGGACCCTGAACTGCCTCTTTTTTCCCCTCCCAAATGTTATTTTTAGTTCCAGCTTTTTCTTTTGTTCTTGTTTCTTCTTCTTTTGTCGTCTTATTGTTACCAGGTTGTAACCCAGTGTCATGCTTTTCTGTATTTGTCTTGAGCTTCTTGGGTGGCTTGAGTGATGGATTTGTGAAACTTTTAGCAGGTTTCATCTACACCATTTATCCATCTCTTTCTTGGTCCCTCTCGCCTTCCTCTCAGATGATCTACTGTAAAGTCTCATATGCAGCTTCATTCTCACTAGAAGACTGAACCATTTCATTTTTTGTCTGTCAATATAATCCAGACATGGTTTTATTCCAACTTTCTCTCTAATGCGTAACCCTGTCTCGTCTAGTATTGTTAGTGACCTTGCGGAGACACAGCATTTCACATGTAGTTATCTTCTGTTCTAGTGCCCTTTTCAATGTCCATGTTTGGCACTGATAACATAAAAAAGGGATAAAGATGCTATTATTCATTTGCTGTGATGCAGGAAGGTAGACATTTGGGTGTCTAAGCAGTGGGGCTAACTGGTAGGTGACAGCATTTGCCTTCTGTACTCTGGCTTCTATCTCTTTTTTGAGTCTGTCATCCTCTGTAAATATGCTCCTAAAATATTTGAATTCTCGTACTTTTTTAAATTGTAGTACCGTTAACATGAATGTTCATGATATTATGTTTTCTGCCTATCCTCATTACCTCCGTTTTTGCAGTGTTTATTTACATGTCATACTTTGTGCAGGCTTGATGTAAAGAGCCAATATGATGTTGTATATTCTGTTCTTGGTGGTGTATTAGACACTGATCCTCTGCAAAAAGAAGTTCATTGACACCTGATGAGATGGGAAACCAGTCTGTCATTCCTTCTGTTGTTCTTACTGTGCACTGACTATCTTGGTAAAGAACCATGATGTTACCCAAAAGTTGATCTTGAATGCCATAATCTTCTAGAATGTTCCAAAGTTTGCATCTGTTGACTCGATCAAACGCCTTCTCTTGATCTATAAATATAAGATGTTGACTTCTATCATATTCAATAGACTGCTAGCATATCTATCTTAAAGAAAATATTGCATCTGTACATCTTTCCATTCCTGAAACTAAACTGTCTTTTACTTAACTGGGGTTTTAGTACTAGTCGAGCTCTAAGTTCCAATATTTTTGTTCTTGTATAAGATCCTCAAACTGTCAGTTGCAAGGCTCACTCAAATATACCAAGTAATGTCCCCCCCCAGACAGGGGGATACTATGACAAATATACCAACTAATGTTTTTTTCCCCCCAGACAGGGCAGATGAAGCATACTCTTGAAGACACTATAAAGGAATGGATATGGTTTAATACATTTTCATGAATCATCAACATAACTGTTATGGAAATTGAGATACAACATTCTGTCCACACTTGTCAGTTCATTACACCAAGATCTACATGTGGAAAACAACATTAAACAACCTCCTTTAAGATAGAATCAGCATTTATTATACACGACTATTACACATCAAAATGTGATATACTTTAGAACAGCTAACACATGTAAATCTAATAAAGTACGAAACACATTTATAAATGTAATAAACTATAGATTAACTTTCACATGTAGGTCGCCATAGGTATGTTAAAAGCAAAGGGGGAACAGGTGAGGCACTTAGGTAAGAAACAAATATGTTTTTAGAACACAATATGAGATGGCAGACCAATAAAAGAAACAGCAGAAATGTGTTGATCCCTGACACACCAAGCAATGTCTTGCATTTAACAAACTATTTCATAACATCATATTAATGGTGACATAAAACACATTGCCGAATGCACTCATATTTCTTTATATCTGCTGCACAAGCAGCCTTTTCCTAGCAGTACACTATCAAAGCTAAACCAGTGGCTCCATTCCTGATGTTTTACATGATGTAGATCATAATTCCTCTTTTTTACCCTTTCCAAATGAAACAGTTGCATGTTCTTGTAAAAAATTTTCAAAGTCTTCAACCTCACGTGGACCATCATATATCAAAGGTGTTTCCTTGTTATTAGAAGCAGCAAAATAGATGGTAGGATAACCAGAAACACTGTAATTTTCTGGCAGATCATTTGCTGTGGCATCCATTTTGGCAATGACCAGGTTAGATTCCTTTTTCAGCTTCTTGGCTAATGCTTCAAATTTTGGCTCCAGTTGTTTGCAGTGTCCACACCATGGAGCATACAGCTCTATCAAAACATCCTTGCTGGGATCCTTGACAATCTTCTCAAAGGTCTCCCCAACAGCCACAATCACTGGCCCATTCTGCTTCTTAGGAGGTCTCTGGGACTTGATATGTGGTTTTAACTTTCCTGTAAACAAACAAAACACTGTACTTTTAGAAAAGTGATAACATGACTGTCATCCTTAATAAGATATAAAAGATAAACACAGAAACTACTGGACAATTCAGTTCTGTAGTATGGAGAAGAAAGATGGAACAGTAAAAACAATTACTAAAAAAAAAAAAAAAAAACACTACACATAAAGATTAGCCTTTTCAGACATAGGCAGGCAATTCTTTAACTTCTTAAATCCTCAATATTTGTTAATTTGTATGTTATGGTCTTAAAGAGTTGAAATAAGGACACTATAGGAGACAATAAGTTATAGTAGGCTTGAAAGCTGTATACTGAAACTTTGTTGTAGTACACAACATGTGAGATACAAACAATAAGCAGGCAGGCTGAAAAACACCTATCTGCAGCAGAGATGTAATTTCTCAAAAAGACTGTAAAGAATTTCATGGACAGACTAAAACAAACAAGGCAGTCCTCCTCAAGACAGATAAAAACTGTATACTGGTTAGAGAAAATAGACATAGATAGTCAATATTTTTTTTTAATTTTATAAGAAGGAGTTGACTCAAGAACTTGGTAATGACTGACAAGATTGATTAGAAAAGTTCTGCCAGAAGGGAGACCATTACCTGGATGGTTTGGCCGTAATGATGGGGCATGACAAGAGAAATGACTTGAACCATGATTTTGCTGATAATGTGAAATAATGAAACATAAATGACCTAGACTTATCTGCCTTGCCCTTGATAATGACTGAGATAGAATGTTCTAATATGTACCAGCTAAATAAGGAAGGAGATAAGACAGGAATATTGTTTAAAAAGTAAGCAGTAAATGTACAGAGGGTTGCTTGATACTGAAACAGTTAACTGGTGTCTGTGGAGAACAAAAACAATCAAATAGTACAGTAGAATCACCATTGCTGAACTTAAGGAGATCTAAGCTAATTCTAGTGAATCAAAAGTTGAGGAAAAGATCATGGCACTCAATAGGACACAGTGAGAAGACTTGAAAATATAACTTAAATATCCTTGCACTGTGACCCACACTGCCAAATAAATAATGGAAACAAAACAAACAAAAACACAACCAGAATAAACTTAAAGGCAGGAGAATGTAGAGAGAGCTGCATGCACTGCAAAGGATAAGATGATTTACCATGAGCTGGTTAAAGGCATTTGCTCCACTGGGGTATAAACGGCAGAATAAGAAGATTGTAGAACAAGGATGAGAAATGGTTAAACTTAAATACAGTACAAAGAACAAATGGTTATAAAAAACAGATATGACTACTTGTGTGGTCCAGCTGGCACATAAAGATGACAGACACGACAGCACCCAAAACAAGAGTAGTAATACTGCCTGTGTTAAATGTGACAACAGAAATCGTGTCATCAATAAGCCTGATCTTCTTTTACCTCTAAATATGCACCAAGTCTTGCCTGAATCTCTATATAACCAAACATGGTTTTCTGTTTCTGTAATTTACACCAGCCAGGTTCTGACACTTTCTTCATTCAATTGAGTGTCCCCTTTATAATACACACTTATGAAACACTACTAAGTGTACATGAATTTGTTTTGCCCACATTTATGTGTTCACGTTTGCAAGTTGCATATGTGTGTGTGTGTGTGCATGAGCGTGAAACTTATCAATCTTTTTTTTCTAACAAAACAAAAAAGTCCCCTTTACCTTTCTTGTACTTGTTGAGAAATGAAATGATCTCATCACTGTCATACTCATCCATTGGCTCCATGGCATACTTTTTACCGTCGGCACCAAAGAGGCCTACATTGATTTCTTCACCAGATTCATCCAAGCCAAACTCTTCCATGAGTTTAGAATTCTCTTCATCATCAGCCACAGCAAATGTAATCTCCGGGAACTTCTTGGCAATGTCTGCTATCTTGCGTCTCCAGAACTGAGTTGCTGAGGGAAGCAAAATAATCAGATCCACGACAGACAAGTCACTTCTCTCATTCGTTTTTAATTAATTTCAATTTAATAAGTTCTGGTTGCTCTTTCACATCTGGACTTCAGTTTTGTTGCAGAACTTCAGTTCTGCGTACAGATCTGTCTTATGTGTATAGAGACTGCTGGTTCCTTGCCTCTCAGGCTATAAGCTTAGAAAAGTGCTATAGATGTAAAAACAGATCAGGACTTACGCTTTGTAGATACACACAAGTATCTGACATAGTGAAACATGAGGAAATACAATATTTCAATTGGCAGCAAGCAGGAGATACATAACAATTGAGCAACATTGCAGTGCGTAATTAAGTAATGCGAGACAAGCATGTGCACAAATTTATCAAGGCAGACAAACATCAAATTAAGAAGACAAGTCGGGCACTTGTGGAATGGAATGATCAGGAAGTTTCATGGCCAGCTTAGGGTTTAAATTCTTGATGATTATGAACTGTAGAAATGTCTTATTAATCAACATTTATGAAGATTAATGCCTATTCTCAAATCACATTTCTTAAGAAAAGAAATACAACAGCCATGTACACTTCTTTGACTTGTATTAAGGAGAACATAATGGGGATGAAGAGTAGCAAGAGCGGGTATTGTTTCAAGTTCCACTTTCTATTTCTGTGACCTGACTTCAGACCTGTCAAGATACTGATCCAGGTCAGTAGCTGAGGCTGGGAAAACTGAAGCTAATCTTCTTCTTCCTCTTCTTCACGTTCACTGGCTTTAAACTCTGGCAGAAAGTTCTGGTTGTTTAACCATTTCTAGACTTCAGTATTGTTCCAGAACCTGAGTTTGTGTGGACATCCGTTTTACAGATCTGGCTTAGTTGTCTGCAGACTGTTGTTTCCTTGCCTCTATGACAAATACACTCGGAATTAGATGGAAACATATATAACTAGTTGACTTTTACTATATGTATGTTGCAAGAAGGAAGGTAGTGGGGTTGGGGGAGGGGGGGGGCCCCAGTGGGTCTACTGTTTTTCCCTACACACTGGGGCCCCCATAACCCACACATAAAACTGAGGCTAATGACAGTGTAAGTAAATGTGCGTGTGTGTGTGTGTGGGGGTGGGGGGAATACATACCTTCTCTGTGCTCAAAGCTAAAGTCAACAGAATAGAAAACCAAACAGAGAGGTCTTCTCTTGTCATAATGGCTGGAGCGAGGAGGAGCATAGTGTCCAACCAAGGGCAGGTGATGGGCCTCTATAAATGCCAGAATGTCCTCAGGGATGGTGTCATCCTGAAGGCAAAAACAAGAAGCATATATGATGGTCTAATATGGTGACAGCATTTCTCACCATTGTATTACCCTACTAGGCAGTATTGTGCTGGTGTAGCCACACAAAGGATGTTTGAATTGCCAGTAAAAAGGGATATTTTTATCTGAAATATTACTACTGATCTATGGCAGGCCTATGTCCTTGATAAGAGGCATGATATTTATGTGGACTGCCTTTAGATATAAGTTGCTAAAAGCTCCTCACTCGCCCTATGCAGTTGTTGCAGCTTATGCAACATGAACAAACTGTTTTGCTGTATGTTAAACTTGAAAACAATACTGTTCATATATTGTTTCATTCTGCTATTTGTTTTATTCAAGTATGTGACTAAACAGTTCATACAATAAACTATTATATTTGCATGTGTATGCAATCCCTGGCATATCTCCTTTTGCATGTATCAACCATACTTCAAATAATCTGTAGGTGTAAAAAATAATTATGAAAACTAATTAAAGGCATGCTCACTTTTATTTGCAGTGTATACCACTTAGGCTCATACTTTGTGTGAAACCTTTCTGCAGTGAAGACAACTACTGAGTTTGGTTTGACCTTGTAGGCATTTCTGACTTCTTCATTGAACACAATGGCAAAGTTGAAATCATCTCGAATGTCATTTGCTGGGGACAATAAAACAAACCATACAGCTAAATATAGACAAAATACATCTTTTGAGTCAACACAGTTGCAAGATTTAAAAAAAAAAAAAACCTCAGTATCGACATCCAGCACTTCATGATGTCTAGAGAATTGCACCACCATGTGGAAACACATAAAATAAATAGGTAACGGAAAAGTACTGCCACAATCATTAATAGTATAGAGTGTGAAGTGGTAGGTACTATTTCAACTAAGGCTCCATACTGCTATAAATAATCTTCTTTTCAAGCCACTGTGACATCTGATATGGCCGAAGCACTTCAGTTTCTCAGAAATTCACTGTTTTTACAAGCCAGTTTTCTTCGATGTTCAGATCTTTTAGAATAACAATATTTTTGCCCCTTGATCCATGGTATTCTAAGAATCTTTCTGTAGTATTTAAGATAAAATGCCTGGACAATAATTATCCTCATTAGTTACTATGAGGTAACCCAAGAATCACATCACATGTTGCTACAGGAAAGATGTTTGCTCTACAAACTAATGATTAGCTAGCTGGTGATCTCTGACTGGCACAGTAATGTGGTAGTATCCAAGCATTTAAACTAGATCAACAGTTTGATTATCCAGGCATCTGAACTAGTAAGAATAAGCTGAGTACATAAAGAAATATTAGTCATACGGCCAAATCTTTTGCCTGCACAAAAAACTGGTCACCTGATTTCTACTGTAATTTTGTGAAACCTTTTCTTAATTTTCCTAAACCACTTTTTCAGGACATGAGGTCAACCCACTAATTCTTTTGTCCCAGAATATGAGACGAAAATTCTTGGCATTGCAATAACATTTAAATGGATAAGGTCACGGTTTTGATAGCCTTTTGTCCTGATAAAGAAGTTTGTCAGCGCACCAGCAGATACATGCTGTTGCAGATGGCAAACTGTAGAAAGGTATGATCTCCTATACCTGTCGACAAGGCATCTGATGATGATGGACTGTAGCATCATGGTAGGAAGTAATCCCATTTTCTGGTGCCAGCAAAAACAAATACAAAATAGTGCACACATTTTCCTGTTGAGGAAACAAACCTCAACAAATGCAATTTTTTAATTTCACAGCTATACCACATTAAAACATACTATACAAATTCAGGTGCCGCGCAACACAGACATATTATATATTAATAACAAAGTGACCAGCGATTACCGGGGTGCAATAATAATAACAGATAATTGCACAGGTAGTAACATATTAGTAAAAAAAACAGATAGTACTTTTGCAGAAATTAGTAAAATAAAATAATTTTTCCACTTACCACCATGGCACTTGTTAAAATACATCCAAAAATGAATCACAAATAAACAAAACCACTTAGAATTTTATAACTAAAATATAAACTCAATCAGTACATTAGATTTTGTTCCAGAGAATCTTTTGAAGCATCATAACAGAGCACCATTATTTGGTAAAGAGAACTGACTTCCAAAAACAATTAGTATCTTCACACAAAATTAAGTTTATACAACACTCAATTTGCCTGTAATTGTGTAACTATGTTCCTAAATAAAAAGGAGAATGGCAGAAAAAAATGAATGAAAAAAAAAAAATCACCTTTTCTCTAATATTAATTCCAGCTGTGCCAGCTGACTTGATTTCAAACAATTTAAAAGAGAACAAATAGTCTCAGTTCTACTTTTTGCGTGAGGTACACATTAGAGCTATCCCTTATCAAAGTTTGTTTCTATAAATGACTGTAACAAGTCTACTTCACAATGTTATCTATCTTACTTCAGATAAATCTAATTAACACATTCTTTGTTTAAATTTAAGGCTTCTAAAGCCGTAAAAATTTTGGCATGCATGTTCAAACACTTAAAAAAAGCAGTAAAGCTCGCAGATTTACTATATTTTATGTGTTAACCACTTTTCCAAATACGTCTGATGGTCACCTCACCTGATATCAAACACAAACAACTGGAAAGAAAGTTCAAATTGAGGGGTCTGCATTTTATTACTGGTCTGTGTGGTAAATTAAAAACCTTCACTCGCCACGCACCGATCGGGTCGCTAGGTTGTAACCGATTAGTGCATGATGCGTTCTTTGGAGCTCAGAGTTAAAATTATTTAAAACAATTTTCAAGAAAACAAACAGTCTCAGGACATGAATTATTTACCATGCAAGCTCAGTCATGGAAAAATAAATCTGTATCTCGAGGTTCCACTGCACTATGTTGTAAATGGAACTGTAGAAAAGTTTTTTACAATATCTGTTTTACATGTATAACAAAGGAGTATATCAATAAAATGCCTCTCAACAAATGTGTGCACACAAAAACTACAGACCACTTACATAAATCTCTGAAAGGCACAACTTTAGGATTATCAGGAGATTCAAAAAACCCTACTACACTAATGTCATCTGGTGTAAAGAATTCTTTTAGCTTCTTCAAGTTATTGATCTCTTTAGCACCGTCTCCAATCTGATTTTTCATGTAGGAGGCAATATCTGTAAGAAAAAAAACAAGAAGAAAAGCTAAATTTCATCATAAAACTAAATATAACAAGTTAACGCAATGATATATGAGTGTTTGTGTAAAATTAGTGAACTGTTAGCTTCTTTTAAAACATGATGAATGAAAACTGCAATTAGGACAAGTATTAATATAAGGGATAGATTCTTATCCTATGCCAGTCACCTGAATATTTATCTGTTTGTTTCTAAACATCTGCCCTCACTGCTGCTTTGCGTGAATCGTGTGTTAGCCTGACTAACTCAAAAGTTTCTTGGTAGATCCTTTGAATAGCATCAGATGACAGAATGCCAAACAATGATAAACAGAAATTTGGTAGTTGCAGATTAAAAAAGAATCAGGGATTTCAAAACAAGTACTGGCTTTCAAAAATAACAATGACAGTTATGTTACTCTTTTCCTGAAGAGATGCTAACTAAATGTGGAGTGTCTGCTGTTAGAGTTTCAACACTAACAGATATCAGGAAATAATTACTTCTACTATGATATAAAAATGTGTGCAAGCAGAACATGAATGATACAGGTACTGAGGTGGGTTTGTGTGAGCAGGGTGCCATGGACTGTGCTGCATGGAGGAACAAAATCAGGAAGGGAAACTTTCCTTTAGTGAGCAGGTGGTCAGTTATCACATTAAAAATGGCTAAACGATTTTAGAGAGAAATTTGCATCAAAGTTTGCTGTACACTTTAACTTTTCTCTGTGGAACCTATCATCATCACACATGCAAGTGTGGCAGAAACCACATCAAATACTCACTAAAGGTCAAATCTTCAGTAAATGGAATTAACCGCAGTGACATCATCAAAACCCAAATATCGAATCACAGATCAATCTATTTGGCTACCAAGTTAAATCGATGGCACACATAGCACTCTCTTACATATTAGCTTTGGCTTGTTCTTTCTAGGACAACCCTCATGTATGTATGTATATATATATATGTATGTATGTATGTATATCTATATATATAAAAATCAATGTTTGTGTGTTTGTTTGCACCCTATAGACTCTGAAACTACTGAACCGATTTAGCTGAAATTTTCAGGATATGTTTGTTGTGATACCGGATTTTGAACCGTCGTGGTTTGAAATTCAACCTGTCACTGTTAGAGATAGGTGACCACAATTTATGCCATAATATTCGTAACTAATATTTATAACTTTACTGATTTCTAATTATAGCCACGTTACGTGGGATCCATTTACCGTGCATGCGCAGTAGTGACGCTCTTTCGTCAACATCCGCCCGCAAGGAAAATGGCTATCGGTTTTTAGTTATCAAGAAATATATAAAAAGGTAAGAGCATTTATTTAAGTAACATTAGTCAGTATGTACATGTTTTTTGTTTAATTTTAAACAAATGTGGACCACTTCTTAAATCCCGCAATGATAAATGTATACACATTATCATTAACTATTATCGTGCATGTCGTAAGAAACAGACGAGCAACGTGAGGTGAGACAGCAAACCAGTATGTATATGTTTTTTGTTTACTTTAAACAAGTGGGCACCACTTCTTAAATCCCGCATTGATAAATATATACACATTATCATTATTCCCTGTGTGGGTTCCGGGGTCCCATTGTAGGGAAGACAAAAATAGACCCACTGCCTCCCCAAAAGCATGTCGCAAGAGTCGACTAATTGGGGAGCCTCCTTTGAAGTCGGAGTGCATCTGCCAGAGAGGCAAGGAACCAACAGTCTGTATTCAAGAGACTGAGATCTGTAAAACTGATGCTCACGCAACTCTCAGGTTCTGGAGCAGGACTGCAGTTCAGTAGTGGACGAGCAACCAGAACTTTCCGCCAAAGTGTACAACTGGTGAACGCGACGAAGAAGAAGAAAAAGATTAATCATTATCTGTTATCTTTCTTATACTCATTTGTACAACAGTTTTGGTTGGCTTTCTTCTGTTATTCTAAAGAAGTATATAAATTTACATGACATTCCGTCTCAGGTCAGTGTTAGAATCTAGAAATATCTCAACAGGTGAGTGCATTTATTTCCAGTGACATCAGTCAATATGTACATTTTTTTAACTTCAAATACATGTGTGGACCACTCCTTAAATCCCACAATGATAAATGTATGCACATTATCTGTTGGCTTTTTCATATTGTCTTATATACCGCCTTTTCTTACTATTTGAAGTATTTGCTGCCCAGTTTCTATGCATTTCCTCTTGAGTAAAAATAGATTGTTATCTCATGCTCATATTTTCATTTATTTCAGCGATACTTCAAGTCAACTTTCATCATGAGGATGAACAAGCTACTGATGATCAGCGCTCATCTACACCTAAAACACGCAAGAGGAGGGCATTAATTGCTTCAAAAACAGACGAGCAACATGAGGTAAGACTGGAAACCATTCGAGTTCGCACTGCTGAAGCCCCTTCATCTCAATCAGACCAGCAACGGAAAGCAAGACTCGAAAACGTTCAAATGCGCACTACTTTATCCAGGCGAACACTGCATGTTGATTTGAATCTTGGTGCATTTCATTACACCAGCAATTATGATTGGTCTTCATCCACTCTCGCTTATTGGCAAAATGGATAAATTGTGCGTACATTGCTGTGCCTTCAAATTTAAGAATGACATGCCGGGTATGTGCTGCGCTGGTGGAAAAGTTTAATGGCCAGTATTACATTCACCACCCGAACCATTTTCATCATTGGTAGTAGGTGACACAGGCCAGTCGACACATTTCTTGGCAAACATAAGTACATTTGCAAATATGTCAACAAAGGAGGCGATATGGCAGTCTTTAGAGTGGGACATGCAGCTGCATCTATCGATGAAATCAAGCAATATTAGCTGGGGCGCTACATTAGTAGCAATGAAGCGGTATGGCACATTTTCTCATTTCCATTTCATGAATGACATCCAGCAGTTGTTTATTTGGCAGTGCACCTTGACAATGGACAGCGCGTGTACTTCACTACAGAGAATGCACATGCACGAGCAATGTTACCACTGCCAACCACATTAACTGATTTTTCTCATTGTGTAGAGATATGTTTGCAAAGACACTCCTTTACTCTCACCTGCCAATATACTACACATGTAATGCATCAGCTAAAAAGTTTCAACATTGCAAGCAAGGTCAAGCGGTTGATGGACATCTTAATTTATATTCTACTGATATTTAAGGCCGTGTGTACACTGTTCATCCCAAAAATGCAGATTGCTTTTACTTGCGATTACTTTTAATCAACAAACGGGGACCGGCATCCTTCCAGGACTTGAGAACAGTTTATGGTAAAGTATGCGCTACTTACCGTGAAGGTTGCTAAGAATTAAATCTTCTTGAAAATGATGCACATTGGGACACTTCACTCGCTGATGCTTCGAATACTGCTCGACCACAGCAAATACGCACATTATTTGCAATAATATTAACAACTTGCTTCCCATTCATTCCAAAAGAGCTTTGGGAAAAATACAAAGACTACATGAGTGAAGACATCCTGGCATGAAACGAAGCATGATCAGGACCTTCAGTTAATTCCAAATGTATATAATGAGGCATTTGTTTGCATTGAGGACATATGTTTGACAATAACTAACAAAGCACTGGTTCAGGTGGGACTGGCTCCACCAGAACAATCTGCAAACAACCTTTTCGATCGTGAGTTGCCATGAATCCGAACATCTAAGACAAATTATCAGGCGGTGTGACAAGGTATAAGTCTATCGATACTGTAATGAATCAGGACGAAATTGTTAATTATCCAACTGAGTTCTTAAATTCACTTCATTTGCCAGGCATGCCACCCCACATTTTAACCGTGAAAATTGGCGTGCCCATCATTCTTCTCAGAAACATCAATCCGCCACGTCTTTGCAATGGTACCAGGCTTTCAGTGAAAAGGCTGATGCTCAATATCATCGAAGGTACAATTTTAAATGGGAAATTCAAGGGCGAGAATATACTTTTGCCACGCATCCCAATGATTCCAACAGACATGCCATTTGACTTCAGACGCTTGCAGTTTCCGGTGCGACTCGCCTTTGCAATGACCATAAACAAATCACAGGGACAATCCCTACAAGTGTGTGGACTACGTTTGGAACATCCATGCTTTTTACATGGACAGCTATATGTGGCCTGTTCACGCGTCGGAAAACCTAATTTATTTGTGTACGCACCAGACGGAAGAACAAAGAACATTGTTTACCCAAAAGCACTTCAGTAAACACATTTTTAATGTTAAATTACCGGCACAATGATCCAATATAATTACATTTTGTTGAAGCGATTTTCCTTTCAATTCACTTTCTATTGTAGCAACGCGTGCAGGGTTGTTTACAGCAATTAGCAAATGTGCTCATTTCGTAATTATGGTGTATTTTTCCTCTTTTCATTGCTTTTCACTAGGGTCATTTTTCCAACTACTTCGATGAAGGAGAAAGTAGTATGTGAACTGGGGGATGGGTGGTTACAATAAACTGTTTACTGAGATAGATTTAAGTTACAGTAACTGCCTTACCCACTCAAAGTTTTATTAGCTGTGGTTTAGCTGTTGCACTGTACATCGCTAGCGTGAAGCGAAGACACATTTCTATGTTCTCTATTTTCCATGTAGCCAAATTACGCCACAGCAACGCGTGGCCGGGTAAAGCTAGTATATATATATATATATATATATATATATATATATATATATATATATATATTTATATACATATATATATATATATATGAATGTATGTATGTGTATGTGCGTGCGTGTGCATATTTTTATATATATATATATATATATGACAATAATGGGAACCACCATGGTATAGGGGCTAGACACTCACCTCTGATCTGAAGGTCATGGGTTCAAATCCCTACGGCCCTAGACTTTTTAAAAAAATGACCTTAGCTCCCACATCGACCAAGCCTTAAGAGGTAGAAGTCTGGGAAGTGAAGGCAGCCGGCATGATACTGACTACATCCCCCAACCAGTGCTTTTTGGTCTAGCCATATATGCCTTAAGGTGTGGAGAAGGTCCCTTACTTTTTATTTAACGAAAGGATAGAAAATATGAAAGCAGGAACAGACCAACTTAGTTCTTACCATATGGAGTATTGCGCTCTCCTCTGTAATCTGTAGCTTTGCCGTTCCTAAAGACTTTAAGAGTTGGATAACCAGTGACATTATATTTGACTGCCAGTTCTGACTCTTTAGTTGCATCAACTTTAGCTAACAGAATTGGTGGTTGCACCTTCTGCAGCTCTTTTGCTGCTTTTTCAAAAACAGGAGCTAACTTCTTGCAGTGACCACACCTTTCAGAAACAGAACAATTACAAGAAATGTTGGTCATAGGTGGTTATAACATGATACATTGGTAGAAGTCTCATAAGTACAGTGAACAGTGTGATAACTTACCTGAATAACAGTCCAGACTAACTTTCTAGTTGGTTAAGGGTTACCCCAAACATCATAAGGCCGTGTAAAAGTAGAACTATGATTCTGTCCATAAAAGTAAGGGAAATGCTACTCAACCTCATGCAGCTATTGTCGAGGTGTGGTATGAACTCTTGTCCTTCAAACTTTGACGACTGTATCTGTGGTAAGCTTTTCTATTTTTTAGACACTGGCTTATTTTATCACACAGAACATATAAATCATCACTACACTCTAGACACAAACGTAAGTGCTCTGATATCATCTTTCAGAGAATGTTTATTATCTGTGATTCCTAAAGCCATGAGATAGCACTGCTTAAAGAAGGCATGTCTTCACCTTTATAAACATGCTTTGTGAGTTCATTTCAATCAGGATAAAGGTCAGCAGCCCATTGTCCAGCCAGCAGATTGTTGCAATGACTGTCTTAACATCTGATCTTAAACTATATATTGTCATTTTATCTGCTGGCTGAACCGGGGACCTTTAGAACTCGAGACCAACGTCATGCCTCGAGACCATTCAGTCCCCATCTTTTCTCTATTACTTTTAACTAGCAAACTAATGATGGCTTGCTTATTAATATTACATGTACCAATTTTGTAGTAAATAATTTATTTTGAATATCACTAGCTAATCATAAAAAAATGCTTCACTGCTCTTAATGAACTTATTTCTCACTACAAGGCATGTGACGAAGTCATGTGGAAGAATCCAAATTCTGAAGTAAGCATCTGCTCAAGTGTAAGGAAATACATTTGCAGAATATGCTACATTTCTGGTATTGGCACCTTGTAGCACAGCTCCGTTCTTTGCGTACGTTGATGTCGCACACAGGTTCATCTTTAGTTTGCTATAGGAGGGGTCGACTGAAGAATACTGACGCGGAGAAAGATGGTCATATCAATAGGGGTGGTGATGATGATGATGTCCTGCTAGCTGCATGCTTCTCACGTAATTCTGATACTTGTATAATGAAATGTCTGGAAACAACTGTTCTTTTCAATACCGCCTTTATTGTCATACTTCAGCAATGTCACAAACAACATCAAAGGTATTCTGAATGGCGCTGTGTTCTTCCTATGGTTATATACTCTTTAGGTCCCGTTGTGTTCTTTATCTCTAGTTACTTTGTTAACTGGTTCTAGTATCTAAAACTGCCACCTGGCTTCTAGTGCTGTCTAGTACTAAAGGCTTCATCGTTGACTCTAATATCTCAATAGTGATTCTACCTAATGTGTTTCTGATGAACATGGATCCATGTATCTTGTATGTCCTCTCTGTAGTTCATTGTTTCATTTCATACCTGCTTTCTAGTGACTGTCTTCAAGGCTCGATATGGCTGGTTCCTCTTCTTCTAGTGTTGAGCTGGCATCTTCACAACTGCGAGGGTCCTTGTTTCTAGTCCCTCCTCTTCCAAGTCTTGATGACCAAAGATTTCTTTGAGGGTGTATATTACTAGTCTCTCCTCTTTAAAGTCTGTTAGACTGAAGGCTCACCTAAATGGTTTGTTACTCATTATTTATACTTGGATGCTGGAATGCTAGGTATTTGTTTTCTTCCCACTTTGACTGCTTCTAGAATATTCTGGTATGCTCAACTTGTTTACTATGTACGTTCTCACGTGGGATTTTCTAATTACATTTCGATTGCATCTGATTTCAACATCTTATTCTGCGCCTAAATACAGTAATTAAATTGAAAGCTGACCTCTTAGAGACTTCTAGAAAGCCAGTACAACTGCATTAACTTTGATAGGGCACGTCAACAATGACATCATATACTATTTATAGATTATTCATTTGCAAAATATTTCTGTTAATAACAAATGAAGGTTCTAGAAAAGGGGAATGTAAGGTTACCAAAACTTGTTGATTCTGGGACATCTTAGCTTTGCACAATATCCTACCTCCTGACAAATAAGTGATGACGTCTCACTGTTACAATCTCTCTGAATTTTCAAACAACAGTGTTATATTGTGCTCTGAGGAGGCATGGGACTTGCAGCCCATGGTGATGGCGAGTGTGACTAGCAAAATCTACATGGCTTTTTTTTATTCCTCCTCTCCACAGCACAAAGCCTAGGCAGTATCGTAGAGACCATATGTTACACATGTATCAAGATCCCTCGCTAAACCTGCCTTGTTTACTGCAAAGGAAAGGTAGCACCATAACGTTTGCAATAAAGCAGGCTGCAGAAGCTGCCAGATCAGAAGAGGAGTGCTCTGTTTGTCTGCCCGTTGGAGCTGGTCTGCCCTGTCATAACAAAGTTTTCAGGTTGCAGGCTAGTATCCTCCCTAAGCCACTCCTCTGCCGACAGTTGTTGTCAAGTTTTATGCATTTACTGAGGTGACAACATTAGAGTCAGGTAAAATATTTCAAATAATCAAAAAACAAACCATATTTTTTACAAATGTCATGCAAGAATATTGTTTAGAAATTTGCAAATTTACCCTTTCCTGCTATTATAAACACTGTCTTAAACATGTCATCAATATTTCAGGAAAATCACAGCAAATTTAGCACAAATAACAACTAATACAGAATGTTCCCACTTTATTTTTTCCAAGTGGATTCTACATTCTAAATATAATGGTTTAATATGGGAAATGCTGAAGAATCTCACCAAGGTGCGTAGAATTCCACCAGCATCAGCTTCTCCTTGCTGACAGTTTCATCAAAACTATCTTTGGTCAGTGTGATCACAGCCTCTGGTTCTGGCTCCCATTTAGGATCGGCAATCTTTTTCATGTATTCTACTATGCCTACAACAGACAACATGTCAGAGAGTGAGCTAACACAAATAATGCAGTACTAACAAAAAAAAAAACAAAAAAAAATAGAAATAAAAAATTATTAGCAACAGATCTAGGCTATGAAGCACTGTGATGATTTTTTTAAAAAAAGTTAAATTTGAGAGGTTCAACTTCACTGAAGCGAGTTTGATCCCATTTGGCTCAATCTCTCTCTGGAGAACAGCCAGTTGCCTGCTGAGAGCATCCCTCAAAGAAATCATTTCATAGTTCCAGCACAGATTCTCCAGGGAACTCTGTAAAATTGTACTCATGAACTTGATGGTCCAGCTGTGACAAAACCAAACGCCCTGATCATTTCGCCATGGAGACCCCTTGATATTTAAAAAAAAAGGATAACAGAAAGACAACAACAACTCATAAGGTAAATTGATTAAAAGTGCAATTAAATGACAAAAGTTCAAATTATTGAGAACAATGTTTGGTTAAGTCAGGCATGTAAAAAGTCCTGTTGTCTTAATGACAACTATGAACAGACTAACCATGTGTTTCTCGCGGCCCATCATATTCAAAGTCCTTTCCATTCTTGAAAAATCTAAGGGTGGGATACCCTGTGATCTCAAACCTAAGAAGAAAAAAGTAAATGTTTAGAAGTATTTAAACAAGCAAAAGACATTTCTTTGCTACAAAATTTCTACTGAGCACAAAACTTTCACAGACACATACATACATACACAGAGTATTAAACCTATAAAGAATATTTGTAGCACATTTATCAAAAGCAGAATGTATTTTATTTGACAACATGTGATCATTTTCCCCAACATATAAGTGATTATGTTTCAAAAACTTGCCTCTGACGTCAAAATGTTTGTTACCTGTATAGTAATTACCTTATAGCAATCAAACAATAGCGTATATAGACTAACTGCTGGTGGCAACTTTTACCAAATTTTCACACCTTCAGAGATGGTCAAATTCACTGTTCAGGCTTCTTAAATCTCAAAATAGCATTAGTTACTTTGCAATCAGTAAACTAAATGAAATCCTGAACATTAAATGCAATGAATACAAGAGAGATTTAATCCGGCAGTTCCCATTCTAAAAATCTCAGTGTGGGGGGAAAAGAATAGACTCACAGCCTCCCTAATAAGCAATTCCCAAGAAGACGACTAATCAAAGACGACGACTAATCAAAAAGACAGCTAATTAGAGATTTCTCAAACAAAGTTAAAGCACATCTGCCTGAGAGACAAGGAGCCAACAGTCTGCATACAAATAAGCAGATCTGTATAACGAATGTGCAGGCACATCTCAAGTTCTGGAATAAGATTAAAATCCAGAAGTGGATGAACAACCAGAATTTTCCACCAGAGTTAACAGTCAGAGATTCTAGAAGAAGAAAAATATATCTTATGATGACATTTTGTCTTCCTCAACAAAATTTCAGTTTATAATTTTCTATTCAAGCTGCAGCAGTACATTGGCATAGTGGCTAGCTCATCTGCCTGGCAGTCCAGTGGTTCTGTCTTAAATCCTAGTTGAGGCAGATTGTTTTAAATGACTGGGGCTTGTAGGCAGATGCATCCTTTATTTTTAAATGGGTAGCGGTAAATGTTCTGAGAAGTAAAGATGGGTGGCATGATACTGACAAGAACACCCACAAATACCAATTGAATTGTTCTATAAAACTGTGTGACTACCACCAAAAATCTAAATCACTTCAGTATGTGGTCATAATCTGTTTCTCTTTTGTTGCTCCCTTTAACCTGTATAACAGTTTCCCTCAAGGTAAGACAATCTCAACAGTTTGGTATACCACAATTTACCAGGAACATGAAGTCGTATGTTTGAACATAAAAAACACACCCTCACTGCAGTCTCAGTACCTTTGTGCCAGCTCACTATGAACGGTGGCATCCACCTTGGCCAGCACCACTGGTGGTTCATGTTTAGCAAGCTCCTCCGCCGCAGCTGAGTATTTGGGAGCAAGGCTTTTACAATGGCCACACCTGAAACATGGCATGCACACATTTAATAGTCTAAGTTGTCACAGCATTGTCCGCTCTATATATGCTTGGTGGTTTAAAGGTGTTTAAATATCACTTCACTGGTGTTGTTCATTACAGCTTGGCACCTCTCACAGAATGAATGGCTACTTGCCAAATCACAAACTGGCACTCCAGTGACAATCTCTAGCGAGTTCTGACAAAACTTCACTCGTGAACCAAACGACACATTAGGAGAACATCCCATGACCTTAAAAGTGAGACAAACAGTCTGAACACTTCACCATGGAGATCCTTACTTATGCACAATAATGTGTACACCCATGTAGTACCCTGCCATATGTATTTTGTAGTGTGATAATCCTGAAACAGCTTGTTTCTGGAATAATCTTTGCCTGGTTTTGAAAGTTGGATTAGGTAGCTGTCTTCATCACTCATGCTATTCATGTGGGCATGTGTTATTGTCATTAACTGTGAGACTTGAAACATTAGCTTTTACAATTCTATTGTCCAGAGACCACCATAAACAGCCTCCTTTTCTGAGTTGATGAGAGCACCCATCTCTGCACACCAGTCAGTCACTCTGTCTAGTTGCATGTGGCTCTTGGGTTGTCTATTGCCTTTTGACAGCAATAATCTTCTCTCGCACCCTGTAGCGTGATAATCCTGAAACCGCTTGTTTTTGGAATAATCTTTGCCTGATTTTAGAAGTCGGATTAAGTAGCTGTCTTCATCACTCACACTCTTCATGTGGGCATACCTGAATCAATCTGGCCCTGGCACATTGTCTTTTGCTTTTTGCAATATAAATTTTATATCCTCCATCATAATGATAGCCTGAAAATTATTATCTTTAGTTTTAGACAGATTATCTTGAAGTGAATTTCTTAGTTTCCTATCATTATGATGAGTCTCAGTTATATATCTCTCAAAAAATGCTTCCCCTTTCTCTTTGTCTGTTGTCACTGGCATACCATTATCAATGTATATAATGCCTTCTAGGATAGGAGGAAAGTTGCTATACATCTGTCTGTGAGGTCCAAAATCTGCCTGTTTCTATTTTAATAATGCACCGGGTTTGTCTGTGGCTGAAGAAAATGGTGCTTAGCTGTTCCTACAAATACTGATATCTCTGATAAACCGATTCCTTCAGCTAGGGTTTTAATCTGATATCAAATGACATTATATGAAAGGCCCATCCTAGATGATCCAATTTACATTTCTGACCACAAACACGAAACACACTCAAGTATAAACATACATACAAAACTCGAGCAAACATATGTCCATGCAGGCACATACATTCACACATACATACAATAAATATGTTTCAGGCTAAAACATTATAAGATGGTCCCCAGAATGCAAGCCAGCTGCAATGGATCTCCAGCATTCTGTCTCTCCTGTGGGTGGTACACACTCACAGTCAGCCGTTTATATATCCTTGTTATCTTCCAACTTGTATACTTTCTACCTCTTACCCATTTCAACTTCTCCTCCACCAGGATTTTTATAAGAGTAGTATCTGTTTAAATGTGGCCAATATATTTCACTTCTCTCTCTCTCTCTCTTTAATGTTATTTCTGTCAACAGCTCTCTTTTCCCTCGTAGTCTTTAACATTAATGTAAAGGATCAAATTAAAGATCAGAAAACCAGCATTTGAAATATGGCCTTCAAAATGAAACTGTTACTGTGAAATATTGACATTGTTGCACAACTTAAAACAAGGTATTTTATTATCTGTTTCTTTAATTGGATTTTGCTTACGAATAAGTTAGTACAAATCTAACATCTTTAGTTGGCAGTACAGGCCTTTTAATTATTTCATTTCAAGATTTAAGAAGCAAGTCTCAAAATGTTGTCAATATTTTTAAAACACTTAGTAACTAATGTAATAATTGTATATCTATCTTTTTTAAAAGAACTGGCTAATTATTATTCTGTTTAAACATACAAACCATGGGGCATAAAATTCAACCAGGACCGTAGGATTCTGACTGATAACATCATCAAAATTCTCAGAGTTTAGAACCAATACGGAATCTTCCGTTCTTGTTGAACTCTCATTTTCCTCATTTTCTGTAAAGGAGAATACAGAAGCAAAATATAGCTTCCCGAAAAGCACTACACAAAAAATTAAATGCTAAAGCAACATACAAAGATAGGTCCTCCTTTTTTTTTTTTAAGGATAAAAACTTTTTTTCTCATGATTATTTAACCAAAAAGAGGGGAGCTATGGTAGGGGGTTGGGGAGTTTGGGGGGGGGGGGGGGGGGGGGGGAGTTGGGGGGTGGTAAAAAAAACTAAAAGATAATACTGCTCGAAGGCATAAAAAATATGCACATGAGTTCTGAAAAATGCTTAAGTTAAAAGTAAAATACGCCTTTACCCAAACCATATGAGTTAACTAACAAGTGATCAAGTTGGATAGAAAAGATATAAAGACAAAAGAGGTCCTAGGAAAAGTTACATCAGTCAATCATACAAGACAAATGGGAGACAGATGTTTGTTCTCCTAAACAGAGATGCTGAGATCAGCAGAGTGAAATTATTCAGATGAAATATCCTAATGAAGGAATGAAGTCAACATAAGTTAGCTCGAGATGGAGCAGGGAAATTAAACCTTTATTTGTACGTGCTGAGTACAAATCTATGATTATTAACCCTTTGGCTGCTATGGACGAGATAACTCATCTTCCCGGTAGACTGCTAAGGACGAGATAACTCGTCTTCCGTTTTCTGTGCCCTCACTACTAAGGATGAGTTAACTTTAACTTGTCTTCGACTTTTCTTACAGATTGCTGAGAACCGTAATTCTCGGGGGTAAAATGGCAATATACATTACCTAAATCTAATCAAACTGACACATTTACATACAATGAAAACACACATCACGTTCGTTTAGGTGTATTTAGATGCATTTCACATTATCCTGTTGCTTTGTTAAGATAGAAGCATGGTCGGTGAATGGTATATTTTCTGCCCTAAAATATATTTATGGTTTTGCGTTAGTCTACTTTAAACCAAAAAAAAAACAAGAAAATTAGTTAATTAATGAAGAATTAATAGAGTTTCTTTAAAGGAGTAATAGTAAGGATCGTGAGTTATACAAAACATGTGAGTTATATGAGCTGGGTTATCTTCGCAGCACGCCGGCGGACACGTGTACTTCTGGCCATGAGCAAGACTGACCATATGACCCAGCTATCTACATTGACTGGATTTGAAATGGATCCCCAGTATCAAGAAGAAGATAAGGTCACTTACTGACATGATGACTAACATTAATGTTTCTAGTATACTATACAACTGACATAAATGTGTCTGTCTATCAAAGTGTACAATACTGGTCTTATTTTCAGGTCTAATTTTCGTGTTAATTTCTAGTGTAGTTGGTATCACGTCTGCCTTACAATCGAAAGGTCCTGCGTTCGAACCCTAATTGCCTTTTTTTAAAATAATTTTAAATATAAATTTTAAATTTAAGCTCTTAGCACTTTTGGCAACAGATCACCGAAGTATTAATTAATTAAACATCCTTTCGCGTTCAGATGGATTTAGATGCGTTACATGTTATCCTGTTCCTTTGTGAAGCGTGGTTGGTGTACTGTGCATTTGTAGGGAAAAACACTCCTGTTGCCAAATTGCCCTTAATGATAGTAAGAGAAATTCTACAGAAATATTGCAAGGAAAAGAGAAAAAGTGTAGGAGGACAAAAAAGTGAAGATCTGCCACTTCGTTTAGTACAAAGGCATTTCCCTTTAATAATAGTCCGTAACATCACAGAAGAAATTTCCAACAAGAAAGTATGTGGTATGCGCTAAAAGCAAAAAAACGACAGGAAACCAGAAACATGTGCAAGGAATATGATTTGTTTGGCATTGTGTTTTGAAAAATGTCACACACACACACACACAAATTATTCATAATAATAATAAAAACCATGTATTTGCTCACTAAAGTGTTGTGTGTTTGCTTTGTAAGTTTGTAGTGTTTTCTTTTTGTTAATGAGTTTTCATGCCGTAGCCATAGCATGTCCAACTTGTCAGTGCAAAGGTCAACCATACGCCTTCAAAGAATTTTTTTTAGGTGTGCGATTTTTAACCCGTGTCGCAAGCATGTCTTCTGCTTTTGGAGGGAAAAAGATATTCAGCACAGGAGGAAGGATTAGCACTCGCCTGGCTTAGCACAGTGATTACATTAGCTAGCCGAGGGCGCAGCAGCAAGAGGGTTAAAATATCACAATATATGCAAAATAGGCAACTAATTTGTTTTTTCTGCATGCGTAGATTTTGTTTGGCGTTTAACAAAGTAACTATCAATTTAAGTAATTTTTTTATTATGCTTCAACTTCAATAAAATTAATTTGGAATTTATTAAACATGTATTAGGAAAGTTTTATCTTGTAATCTTTAATGCCAAGCTTTCATAAACAATTCTAAAATCACACACCCAGCAAAGCAAGAATAATATGGCTCCATATGGAACCATTCATTTTTGTGTGTGTGTGGGCCTAACGACATTGATTAACACCGTCTTAAAGTAAATGCACTGTCGAATTCATTATCCACTGTATTATTTATGTTCAACTTTTCATCATTTTGTGACAACAAGCCTATTATTTAACAACTTTACAGAGTGAAGTGATGCAATCTGGACATTCTTTCTATACAGCAAGATGAATGCCACAATAGGCTTGTAATCTTATGTAATTAAGTACAAATACTGCACTGGATGTTTTCTTCAAGTATGCTTTTATTGTGACTGAAAAAAGGTTGTTTAATATTTCAGAATAATTAAATTGTCATCACTGTTTTAGTTGTTTTACAAGCCTGCTACTCAACTTTACACATGACCCAAATTGTCATAGAATGACACGAAGCATACTAGACTGCTTTGTTAAGGTTATTATTTTGTTATTGTTGTTTATAATCGGTGCAGACCGATTAAGTGTTGAAATGTCTGATTATAGGTTATAATACATTTATAAGCAAAGTAGTATGACACGTCAGAATCTGTGGCTTAGGTATTGCAAACACACTTCCTAATGCTGGCTTGTATCCCAGCTGCATAGATTTGTCTTTTGGTTGGCTCTGCAACTTAACTCTTTGAGTCCCAGGGGGTTAAGCATCACAGGCCCAGGGGGTAGTAAGAAAAGTAACAAAATCGGCGCATCATGCGTTCATTGGGCTTCTAGGTAGAAACCTATGAACGTATGGTGCGTTCCTTGGGACTCAAAGAGTTAAACCCAAAAAATGACATGCCTGTATATGTGGATTTTTGGTCAGCAGGGGAAATGGACATAAAAGGTGAATTAATAAACAGAGGATACTGCAAAGAGAAGTCTTTATTTACCAAAAATGATAAGAAACAACACAACAAGGGAATGATCCCTAAGTAATTTCTTTATGGCACTAAAATATTATGTAAACAAATGAAGGGGAATTAAAAAACATTCCAAACATCAAAATATCCCCAGTGTAGGTTCCAGGGCCCTAGTAAAGGAAAAACAAGAATAGACTGACCTACTGCCCACTCTTACGACATGCCTGCTGAAAATTATTTTTCAACAATTTCTGGTCACTTTGATGTATTTTTTTAATTGTATGTTGCGTGACAGTTGAATTACTATGGTCTGTTTTAATGTGTAACACTTGTGACATTTTAAATTGTGTAACCACATCTTGGGCCTTAAATGCTAAACCCTTTAGGACTCAAACAGTTAAAATGTTGCCTCACAATTCAATGTTAAAGCAGCAATGTCAACCAGAAAGCTCCATTCTCTAACCACAGGATTTCCATGGTGTTTCAATGTTTTTCAACATGCTGTTACATTGTTTTGCTCTAACTGCATTCATGGACAGCCACAATGAACATCACGGTGATTATTTGAAAACTTATTTTAAAAAATTATTATTTATCTTAAAGGGTGTTGTTGCTATGATCACCAATACATGGTTGCTAAGATGTGTGGTCACAAACACAAGTTACAGTATATAAAGCAGGGGTTCTTAACCTGTGGGTCGAGTTCCGTTCGGGGGTCAAACGACTATTTAACAAGGGTCTCCTAAGACCATAGGAAAACACATATTCACTAAAGGTATGAAACAGCAACGTAAATAATTTTTTTGTTGGGGGGTCACCACAACAACAAGAGCAACTGTATTAAAGGGTCATGATCATGGCATTAGGAAGGCGGTGATTTGGTTAGGGTATGCTTCACTGGAGAATAAAAGGCAGCAGAAAAAGCATATTCTACAAAACATATGGTTGCGGTTCTGGTGCTTTCCATTTGTGCAAAAAAGGGGGAAAAGTTAGTAATATTTATTATATATAGTATAGAATAGATAGTGAATAGTACTGTAGTCATTAGTGTAGAACTAAAGTTAAAAGTGGAGTCTTGATCTGTCTCATAAACATAAATTATCACAAGGAAGGAAACAAAAACTATTAGTATTAAGTGCGTGTAAACAACATACCATCTGTATATGAACTGTCAGATTCACTGCAAAGTATAAACGATGCATTGGCGAGCAAGAGGACAACAATCAAACGAATGCAATCCTTAGCCATCATAGAATAGATAGATGTTCGGTTGTATCAGATACTATCAGTTCAGGTCTTCGCGAGCGGCAACTATATCCGGGTCACCAATGCCTAACAAATAACGGGAGTGTGCACTAAACGTAAAGATCTTTCTGTCGCAGTTGTCTAGTTCCAGGTTCGGAAAATAAGTGAGATTGCCACTGTTATTTCCATAAGTGAAGAAAAAAAAAAAAAGAATATATTTCTGTGTTTCTTTTAAGTGCACCGCAATTTGCTTTAAGTAGTGGATTTCAAACTATGTATAGCCACCAATAAAAAGGTGACAAGTAAAATTAGAACGGAAACACGTGGAATGAGAGCACTAGCAGACAGAGGACAGACCACGCCTACCCAGCTGGAACATGTTTGGAATCAACTTATAATGATTGTTAACTCGTTTACCACATAGCAACTGACATACTTTCATTCTTTTCCCCGTGTATGACCAAAACATTTGTTCTTGTGTGTATTTTTTATATTCAATACAAATTTGTATCTGTTCATTCCTATGCAGTAATCGAATCACTTTAAACGCTATACGCTATGGTTCCTAGAAATGGTTTTGTTGTTGTTTGTTTTAGTATCCAGAAGCCATGAGTTGTTAACCCTTAGGCTCGGTATTATGGATATCGCAACCTTTCGACCTTGATTCCATTGTAAATACCGTAAATCTGGGAGAAAATGTGGCTTTCCTGCCTACCCCCGGGATTGAACCCGGACCACAAGGAGTTCGTCACCCGGTTTAGCCAATTACGCTAGAGAGCCGGGCTCCTAGAAACGGTAAGGGTTAGGGAGAGGGGGGGGGGTGTTACATTAAAGAAAAGGCAGTGGACGACCAGCACAACGGTGGCCACAGATATCAAGGATACCATAAGCGTGGAAGTTCACGAATGGGAAAATATCTGAACACATTGGAACATTTATTTCAGCGCTTGTGTTTTCTCTAGTTTTTCAGTCAAAGTTGCTGAGATATCGGACGCCTAATAAGAAGAAACTCCACAGGGCAGCATGAACAGCAGGAGTCTACCAATCATCAGTAGAGGTAATCTCTCCTCGATAAACTAAATGTTTCGGCCCACAAACTCCTAGACATTTTCAGAGAGTGGGCCCACCTGAGTTCATGAAGCTCATGGTTGATTTCCTCCTGCTGCACGCATTACCGGATGTTCTTGGACAGGGACAACACGAAATTGTTGACTGAGCAAAAGTACTGTGAGATTCGAAGTGTATTTACATAGTCGCCGCTGTAGCATAATTAGAGCAGTCAGCTTACCTGGACGACCAAGTGACAAGCTTACGGTTGGTTTATAGGACACATGTTAGACTTTGTTGGCAGATGGCAGAGGGACACCGGCAGACAAATCGGACACGATGGAATTTAAGGGATAAGACTTTCCTTTCTACTAGATACCTGGACCAGCTCACCGAGGCCCATCCCCCACGACGTTCCGAAGTGTCCAGAGCCAGATCAAGGCCCTCTCTGCAGCCTCGCCCAGTTATTCAGTGCTCGTTTGCGCTCATTTCCTCGAAAGTCCAGTTGTTTAATCACATTGTACATACAAGTGGAAACGAGACCTCTTGCGCCTACCTGGACGGCGCAGATTCTTTTTGTGTACGCTTCGTCTCTCCTCAGACCAGCCGCTAAGTCACCGTACTTTTCGAGCTTGTACATGTGGCTTTCGTCCATTGGCGACTCACACGGCACGGTCATCCGGGTAAACTCTGGTTACTTTTCGTGACCAGGCAGGTCAACCGCCAGTAACCAGTCTCTGGCACAGTCAAGCATCGATGGAGTGTATGCGACCTTGTTGTATTTACTTTTATAAATCTGCCCAGCCTTGAGGAAGCTCACGGAGACGACGATAGGACTGGCCCTTGCATTGGCCCTTATCCTAGCTTGGTCCACAACGGTCACTAACTTTTTCAGAACCTTGTTGTGGCACTATGTAAATCTGCCTTGACCTAGGGCTTTTTTGAACGCGGACAATACGTGCTCGAGCGTTTGCTTGGCTCTACATAGCGAGCATGTCGGGTCATTAGTCGCACTCCACTTGACCATGTTGACACCGAACGGTAATACATCGTACGATAAAGCTCATTCGCAGCGGGGCCATTAACCAGATCTCACCCCACGTGAGTGCTCGTGGCAGGGGCTCTCTAGGCCGATCCACTGGCATTGCTGCGACTGTTTTGCGGCTTTTTGGACCCGAACCTCGTTTTCGGTGTCTCTAATCTGCTGTATCACCATGTCACGGCGCTCTTTGGCTGTGGCTTTGGACCACCAACTGACTTTCCCTTGCCCTGTGCCTTTACGGTAGGTTTGAGTGTAACCCATCACCTCTCTCAATTCCAGTGCATCTTGGGCAGATTCAATCGCATCTAGGACCTTCCATTTGACGCCTGTCCCTAGAGCGGGCTGGACAGCAGGGACAGTGGGGTCTGAAGACTCCCGCAACATCATGGCTAGCCTTACTTTGCTAACTTTAAACTCTTCGGTTACTGATTTGAACGGTAGTACCAGCTTTGTCTGTTTACAATACAGAGCCACATCAGTCAGAAAAGGTGGTGCTCCCAACCATTTCCTTATTGCTGTGTTGATTTTGCGCTCTATTGCCCCCACTGCCCTCATCGTCACTTCGTGGACACCGTCATGCAGTCTTGTTTGACATAACCTCTATAAGGGGGAGATACGCTAGGGAAAAATGGGGAAACACAACCTTTACATAAAGTGGCATCAAGGTAAAGTACATTTATTTCTTATCATCCGGCGGTTATATTGTTATCTTGGGTTGGCTATTTCTAAGACTTGAGTTTTCAAAGTTGATCAGGGTCAGGCGTTTTCTCAGATGCACTATAAAAATGATCGTCCTGTCTGCAATTGTAACTCAGTTTGAGTAAAAAAAATGAATACCTTTCACATTTCCCCCCTAAGTAAATTCTCAATGTAAAGGTTGAGAACAACAATTGAATGTCAGTAATTAGAGTACTTCATTGTCTACATAATCTGAGCATGTCAGACACAGTGAAGAGAAGAGTAGATCAGATACTGGATTGATACTTAACTTAACCTGCTTCATGATGATGGAGACAAAGAGCAAGTTTTAACACATGTCTGTGAATCATGGACAATTCATAAACAAGCCAAACAATTCCCTGAGGCTTCAGAGATGTGGTTTTACAGAACTGTTAGAACTCTTCGGGCAGCTAAAAAGAGCAATCTAGATATTTTGGAAGAGGGACGGGATAGAAGACAACTTATCACAAACTATTTATCACAAACGTCAGAAACAGACACTCATAATTGTTTGGTTAAGTTACGTAAAGGTGGAAACGAACATGTTGTGACCACTGAAAAGATCTGCGGAAAGAGAGATATAGGAAGACAGTGTGAGACGATTTTTAACAGCATTTTGTAATGGCATGGAGGTGTGTCAACACACGAACATATCCACGTAGTTGTAGATTGTGGAGGGATATGATGGCCCACGCCAGTCGGCAAGGCACTTGATGATGCATGTAATCTGGCTTGGCGATAATTAGAAAAAACGAATGTCACCTGGGGAAGACACCGACAGTCTATTGGAGGCATCGAGTGAAATGAAATCTGTAAAGTCGGACACCATTATGAAATGTTTCATAATTGATGCTATACTCTACCTTTGAGAACAGGGGCTTGCTTTGCGTGGCAGCTCGCAGCGCACGGCTGAAAAAGATCATGGATAATTTCTGGCAGTCGTGTGGAATTGTCTCACCGGGATCCACTTCTAGAAAAAACATGTGTTGCAAGTTAAAGAGTCATGGAAAAGGGAGAGCCACTTCAAGGATATTATCCCATAATAGCTCCGCCCCCCCCCCCCCCTCCCTCATCAACAGCCAGCGAAGAGTCTTTACACTGACATTACCCGTCGTCATCTGGTGAACTACTCTACTCGCCTTGCCTTTCTTCAGAGTCCCAAGTCGCGTCCAGAGCCTACACATACTCCCCGCTTCATTACTGTCTCCAGGAATGGGTTTACAGTATTTTCCATTTCAGTCACAAATGAAGAATTTAGAAAAATAGTAGGCGCAGCATCGTTAAATAATTACACAGAATATTTAAAGAATCCAGTTGTTTGATCATCCGGTCAGAATGGAAGAAAGTCAGTCAGTAGATAATGTGTACAACATGAGAACACCAGGCTACTAGGCATGAGGCTGACCAAGAAAGATTTGGGTGAAGAGAGTCAAATAGACACTATAGAATCGCAGAATGACATTAACACACGCCATGCAATCTTGAACTATATAGCAAATGACATGAAACTACATCTAACTTTGCATAAACAGTAAGAAAGAATAAGAAGATATTGTACAACAATAACACCCATGCTTACTATACGTTCATTAATATCAGACATCCATACATATTAAACAGGCAACGTCCGTGGCTTAGGCGTTGCGAGTCCGACTGGTAATTCCAACGTCCCGCGATCGAAACCCACTGCTGGCTAAGGGGAGTGGAAAGTAAACTGAGTGCCCCATCTCTGACATGGAAAATTGCACTGAAGATTGCACAGGACAGGAAAGCATGAAATGGCCTCTCTGAAGCCTTTTGTGTCACTAAGCATAAAAAGAACTGATGATGATGATGATGGGGCGTCGCAGGTCGAACCCGCCTAAAATAGGTACCAGGATGTATGTCCTCAGGAAGTAAAGACAGCCAGCGTAATGCTGACTACATTACCCACGTACTGCCGATTGATCTGTAAAAATATGGGTGCTCTTCCAAAGTGCCCTATTCGCCTAAAGGTGTGAAAAGGAATCTGTTTTTACTTTCAAAGAAAGAAAAAATAGACATGTTACACACCCATAACTATTTAATTCTCATAATCTCAACATCAATAAACATTCATCATCATTAAAGTGCCTTGCCACTGGCGTAGGTGATCATGACTCTCAACAACCTGCGATCTGTAACTGCGTGTATCAGTTCGTGTGTTGACACCCCTTCA